GCTTTTGTGGGATTTTTGTGTTTTTTTTTATTGTTTTGCTTCTGATTCTTGTTTTCTGTTTGTTGAAAGGGAGAAGGAAAATAACAAAGTTGGGTAGGTAGGGATGTGGGGAGGTCTGGGAGGATTTGGGGGAGGAGAGATGTGATTAAATACATTGTATGAAAATGTTTTCATAAAAAACATAGAATGCTCCTGGAAAAAAATAAAACATCTGGGTTTCATTAGTAAAGCTGGGTGGGTAAGGTAGAAGGCATTTATGGCTATTAAAATAGGAAATTGCAAATTCTTCCATCAAGACTTGAAGTAGAAAGGAGAGGAAGGGCTGAATTTGAAAGCTTCTTGTAAGATGGAATCCATAAGATTCAGGACTGATCGATATGATGATGGAGGTGAGGGAGACCCACAGCCCACCTTGAGCAGGCAGGTGGGGGGCACAATTCACATCCAAGGACAAGGAGGCCAGTGTGTCAGGCACAAGTCTTAGACATCAGGCGAGGAGCACATGAAGATGGGGCTGGAAATAATGCTGGAACACAGAAGCAAACCTTGGATTCACAGAAGCCGCTGGTAGAAACGACAACACACAGATGCACAGATTATATTTATATGAGACTGATGCCTGCGATCAGCCATGCCCCCACCTCCCAACAGAGCTACTGTAGTCCTCTACAGACCAGCTCCACTGAACACAGTCGTCCTCCTAAAGCACCATTGTCCATGACGTGCCATGCCACAGTGACCCAACTCCCTCACAATTTGGGCTCACAGTTCCAGGATGTAGTCCCTCATGGTGGGGACATGAAGGCAGCAGTCATGTGAGGGAGCTGGTCACACTGCATGGACAGTCTCCTTTTACATTCATTTTGTGACCCCATCCACGGGATAGGGCTACCCACATTTAAGGTAGGCCCATCCACCTCTCTGAGTGCCGTTGGATCCCAACAAACACTACCTGAGACATCTCAGCTCTGACTTGAGACTGTTCTGTTATGAACTGAAAATGTGTCCCGTCTGTACAAAGTTTTCCACTCAAACTGTTACCATGATTTAATTCCTAAAACCAAAGCCCTTTTTTACCTCCTTCCAGACTTTTTCTCTAATTATGCTAACAATGTCACACGTGTGTGTGCACAAACATCCTTTTTGCTCTCTCTACTACTCTGCCTGGTCTCCCTTCTCTATCAACCACCACTTCATTGCCAGTTCCTTCTCCAGACTCACAACTGCAGGCTCTGGAGAACAAAGACTTGTACTATTTGTGTTGAAATAGGAGCGGCGGGCTGGGTCCCACCACCCGGCTAGCTTTACCCAAAATAATTACACACAAACTGTATTCATTAAAACACTGCTTGGCCCATTTCTATCTAGCCTCTTCTAGGCTAGCTCTCGCACCTGGACTAGCCCATTTCTAATAATCTGTTGTAGCCCACCAGCTGGCTTACCAGGAATGAACTTAACCTCCGTCTGTCTGGAGTGGGAGAATCATGGCAACTCTCTGACTCAGCTTCTTTCTCCCAGCCTTCCATTCTGTTTACTCCACCCACCTAAGGGTGGGCCTATCAAATGGGCCTAGCAGTTTCTTTATTGCTTAACCAATGAAATCAACAGATTGATATATGACACTCCCCCATCATATTTGCGTACAGGAAATTCTCCATACGTAAGCATCAAATTCATGTATCTCTGCATTGTGAGGTGTTAAAATGTTTGATTTTGAAAATTACTGTTTGAGTTACTGACAAATTTCATTTAAAAAGTATTTCATGAATTTAGCTTGGGATTAAGACCATTCCCACTGGCTGTTGAAATGGTTTCAGCTAAACTTCTGCCATTTTGTACTATGTATTTATGCACAGCTGTAAGGTCAGCACTGAGGACTCGTAAATCAAACTGCCAATCAACTTGGAAAAATGCTGAAGATGCTCTGCTTCCTGCGGACTCAAATATTCAACCAAGACTCAATTCTCTACATAAAAATAAACAAGCACCTCCATCTCATTAGATCCAGCTTGCCTGACCTTTAATATGTGGTAAAGCGTATGTATATAAGTATTTTAAAAATAAATTCTGTTGTGATTTACTATGTTACCTGTATACAAGCATATTCATATACCTGGGGTCACATGAAACTTCTTGAGCTGAGAAAGTGGTGAAAGTTTGTGGAGCCCTGTAAAAGTGGAGTAGTATGTGCAGCAAGCCTGTGCTTGTGATGGAACTTCTCCCACTTGGAGAGCTGTCGTGCAGAAGTATGATGCTTGTAGCATATGCAAAGTATGTGTGTGACAGATGTATGTGCAATTGTATGTGTGGGTGTGTGTACCTATGTGTGGTTGTGGATGCCAGAAGAAGATACCACATTTTTTTTTTTGCCCTTTCCCTTGAAACAGAGTGTCTCGCTGAACCTGAAAGTAGACTGGCAGAGATCAACCTTGGTGATCCTTCTTTCTGTCCCTCAAATGTAGGGTTACAGATGCACACAGTCATCTTTCTAGCATGTGTGCTGGGGGATTTGAACTCTGGTCCTCTGATTATGCAGCAAATATTACTGCCCACTAAACAATTTTACCCAGTCCTGATCATTAATAATTATTTTTTAATTTAGATTCTTCTAAATTAGTGGTCCTCAATATAATCCTTGAAGATAACATTTCTATCTACCTAATAGACAGAGAAATAGAGGCATGGCATGGTGAAATTACTTTCCAAAGAGTCTTAAGACAATACTGCTAATGTTGGGGGTGAGGCAAGGTTTGAATTTGCATCATTCGAATTCCTCCTGATATAATGCAATGTCATCTTCATGGCGACATGAAAGCAAAGAGCACTGGACATCAGGGCAGGGCTATGTCTCTAGCCCTCGAGATCAGAAATAAAGCTGTCTTTCCTGACTGATGCACAGATGGTCACTGATCAAGCCTCAGACTGTAACAAGCATCCTGACTCTGACTTCTGGGGTTTGTTAATGTAGGAAGAGGGTCCTCCACATTTAAAACATACATCTCTGTGTCCGTGTAAACTCCTTTCTATGATTTCATCATAAAATTATCATCAACAGAGATGTAGAGCCCAGCTCTAACATTTCTATACAAGATATACTTGTGGGTTATCCACCATACAAAGATGCAGTTGTTTCAGAAGAAGTTACAAAGCATCAGTATTTCAAGCCTCCTACAATGGAACAAACCTTGAGCTAACTACTGGAAGCAGTTGCTTAGATAAGATACCAAAAGCGTAAGTGGTCTGAAATCGGTGAGTCTTTGAGCAATTCTGACTTAGCTTGTTTCTGACAGGCTTGCTAATCTCAGAAGTCCTGTTAAGTATCCAAATGTTTGAGCATGAAGAGTCTTCATGAGACCACAGGGACACATGTTACTTACAGGTGGTCTATAGGGAGTCTCCAAGCACATTCCTTTGGGGATAACACTGACGCTTGATCTTGCAAGGCTGATCAAGAGAATTCATGATAAGCTTGAAGAGCACTGACCCCTCCAGGAGTGTCCATGGGGTAACCAACAGTATCAATTATTTTGGTAAGGAGTCTTCCCTTTCATAAACTTTGCCTTGTTGAAACAGAAAAGTAATTCTGAGCTGGGTACAGTGGTACACCAGAAACCAGCACAGGCAAGGACAAGGAAGGAGGTGCTAAGGTTAGGGCCAGCCTGGGCTACACGGTGAGGCCCCATCTCAAAATAAAAGCATAAAGAATTTTAGGACATACCTCTTTATGCATTCATAACTAAGCTATATATTTTGCCTAAATTTGAGCCATAGAATCCTATGTAATTTCTGTGGTAAATATATGTATTTTCCCCCAAACTAATAGGTCAAGGTAATTTTTTATTTTTGATACATTTGATCAGATACTGAAAGAATCTGCTAAACATACTATAGTTATTTTATCGCTTGCAGTCGCTCTAAAATAAAAACCTAGACAATTTCTTTGGACGCATTGACCATTTTATCTTTAAGCTTGTGAACATTTTTATTTTTCAATATTTGTTTAAAATTTCTTTATCCTAAAGAGTCATATGTATATTTCTTGACTGATAAAATGATCAAAAACCCACTATGAAGGAGAAATGTCATGCTTATTTCTTTATACAACATATTTTAATGCATTTGTAATTACTATTATGTAAGTTATTGCCATGTGACATACAGTGATGGTTAGTAGTCATTGTATATGGCACTTATATATTATAGTATGCTATTATACAGGAATTTATAGTAGTAATTTACATCATACTAAGTTATTACATTATAATTAAAATCACTTATATTATTACCATTATCATTTAGCACATGAAACACTAAAATACTACTAAGATACACTGCAATAATGATTACACAAGACAGTCTTGGATAATAACAATAATAACAATAAGACCATTCTGGATTTACAATGGTCCACTATAAATTACACGTGACTCTATTGTGGACAAAGAACCTTAAGAGAAAGGGAACATCAAAGAGAAAGATGTTATGTGTTAAGGTCTAAGTCACTAAGGCTGTTAAAATAATTTACACTGAATATGGTGACAGATCAGCCTCTATGGTTTTACTTCTTCTCCTCGGTCTGAACTCGCCTCTTCCCCTGCACCTGATTGAAGACACCGTGGTGCACTGCTGTCTTCAGACGCATCTAGTCCACAGGAGACATGCTCGCTCTACTGTGTTATTTTGAAACCATTAGTTAGTCACGCAAAGATTCTAGCTGCAGGTGTGCACAGTTGTCTTTTCCCTCTAAAAACACCACTGGTATTCCTCTCTTTGGAGAAGTGCACACACAAATATAATTTAGGGAGTGACATATAGATTCACATTTTCCCCGTGAGTGGTGTATATACATTCTACCATCGATATTGCCCTCACAACATTGTGTGCTGTAAAATGATTGCCACTGAATAGGCAGAGAGTGACTTTGCTTTTCTCTATAAAATTGTGTTAACGAAAGTACTGGAAGGTTTGAAGCAGCAAACACGACTCAGCTAAGCACTCACATCTTGTCGTTCACGTTGCGCATCTGTTCATCTTGCTTAAGTGCCTCTCTGGCCAGCTCTAAGTGGTTGATGGGTTCTGCCACCCTCAGGGTGGGCTCCAAAGGCTTGTAACGCTGGTGCAGGACTTCATTGATGTCTCGGAAGGGTCCCTGACAAGACAGGAGGAGAAACATGTTTCACTATGGAAGAGTCCCAATACAGTAACAACTGCAGTGCTGAACTTCTACAAAACAGAACAAGCTTATTCAATTATTTTTAAAATGCTTTCCTGAGAAATAAAACAAGTAAATAAAAGAACAAGAATATCAGTCAGGCAATGGTGGCACACACCTATAATGCCAGCACTTGGGAGGCAGACACAGGCAAATCTGTGAGTTCAAGACCAACCCAGTCAATAGAGCAAGTTTCAGAACAGCCAGGGCTACACAGAGAAACCCTGTCTCAAAACAACAACAACAAACAAACAAGAATATCACTTATCTTCTGGAACTGTCCTCTCTCATGAAAGTGATTGTCTTAAAATTGTTTCAGACTGGGCAGACATATCCCTTCATGTCAAGAAGTTTCTCACATGTGGACTAGCAAACCTAGGTTGCTTTACATTGCAACTTTACAGGCATCCTTCTTCCAACACAACTGAAGTGTGTGCTTCCTCTTTTTAAGTTAGTAAAAACAAGAAAAATTTATGAGCATTAACTTTCCAAAAGTCCTCTCATATTTCAAACAAAGCCTTTATGTGGGTGCCAAGTGTTGTATTTACTGTTGGTTTCTGAAACATAAATGCCCCACTGACCATCCTCGTTTTATCTGAATTCTGATGCTGAGTGGCTCCAGAACTAAGGACTAAACCTGAAAGAGGAAAGAGTGCACAGACAAGCCTGGGTGGCTCTCGGCACAGCCTCCTGTAGAGTAAGGTAAGGCACGAGGCACCAGAGTCCACTGGCTGGCCAGCCAGCATCATGCTGTGCACAGGCAAGCCAAAGGCAGTTTAGGCATTTGCTGTGTCATTAACGACATACTGTTTTATATCTTTTCACCCATGTGTTAGAGAGGAATAATACAAAATGGACAAAGATTTCTAATCTCATTCCTTATTCTTGAAACTGTCTCCTTTAGATGGGTTATTACTAAGAAGTCGCAGCTGGAGCCTCTGCGAGTGCCGAGTGAAGACTGTGGGGCTAATAAAAAGAAATGATTCACGCCTCATTTATGTTCACTTATGTTTTACATTAATAGAAACCAATAATAGGAACCAGTTACCATAAAAGTCATGGACCGTAAATAACACAAATGGCAGATCAGTATCATCTAGTACTTTCCGCAGCTGGACAGGAGGATTGCTATATTTGGAAGTGGTTAGTGGATTTGTATTGGAAGTTTGCTTTTTAAAGACACACGATCATGATTCCAATCTGTAATCAAGAAGTCAAGAGTCTTAAACTGAACGCTTTTGTGCTTTGACAAATACAATGATGAAAGAATTGGTATTCAGTTGTGTACTAAGTGCAAGTCACTCCTGAGGGCCTGTCTTCTCTGGGTGTGTCAGAGTTAAGAACTGGACTCAGGACTTCCTTTAGGATGTGAGCCTAACACTCCATGTGACCTTAAAGATACGCTGCATCTCAAAAGTGGCAGGTTCTTATTTGTTACAAAAATAGAATTTAAATGCATTTGGGACAATAGAACCATCAAAGAAACAAAAGTTCAGAAGCTGAGACCGACAAGGTCAGCAGATGCTTTAAACCTCTGTTGGAAGATACACACACACACACACACACACACACACACACACACACACCTCTCAATCTCTAATCTCCCTTACTAGACTTGTCTGGAATTCACTAGTTCTCTTGAGTGCAGGGCTGTCAGAGGAACCTTATTTAAGCAATAACATCATGAGAATGGACCAGAGCTTTTCGCACTCTCAGTCTCCTTGTCCCATCTCAATCAGCATCTGCCTTTGAGCTCAATGGTGTACCTCCTTGGTTAGTAAACTTGACAGATGCTGACTCTTCTTTGCCACAGCTTCTGTTAGCCACATTTAAGAGCTCAGGCATATGCTGTTCCATTTGTTCCTGAAGTGACACAAGTTAATATATTTTGGAAATAACTTCAAATTTTAGATATTTTCATTGTTATCACTTTAACCAACAATTCCTGGAATGTTGGCCTCAACCTGAGCCTATGAAAATCAAACACATTTCTGTTCTACAGTCAATGTGACTACATAGTTATCCTTTATTTCAAAGTGTTTATCCAAGTTTAATAATGAAGATTTTAACTTAGTAGAGTTGTCCCAGACATTCAAGAAATCATCATCCAAATCCCAAATGCTGTGTCCACACATTGGCATCTGGGCAGTCTTAAACATCCTCAATGTACAGACCCTTTTATTATTGAATAAAAGAAACGTTGCTCAGCCAATGAATACACAACAATCCTGCTGTGCATAAAAAGAAAGACACGAGGAGAGAGGGAAGGGAGGACACAAAAGAAGAAACAATATTAACAAAAAGAGAAGAAAGGATGTTAAAAACGAAAGAAGAAAGGAGGTGAGAAAGAGCATGGGCAGTATGTGCAGATGAAGAGAAGGCTGTGGGGTAAAGGAGAGAAGGAAAAAGGAAAGAAAAGAAAATGACAAGAAATTAAATGAGAGAAAAGCAAGAAAAGAGACTAGAAGTGAGAAGGGAACAGAATGTCTATACTAGCAGAGGAATACTGTTGTAAGATGTGTTACGTTTGTTTATGCTGTGGAACGTTTGTTTTAATGATGCAAAGCTGTGTTGCATTCTTTTATGTTGGATTTGTTTAACTCTGTGAAGCTGTGATTCTTTGCCTGTCTAAAACACCTGATGGTCTAAAAAGAGCTGAATGGCCAATAGCAAGGCAGGAGAAAGAACAGGTGGGGCTGGGAAACAGAATAAATAGAAGGGGAAAAGTAAAGACAGGAAGAGAGAACAAGTAGCAAGAAAAAAAGGGGGGGGGCAAACCACCCAGCTACACAACCAGCAACGGAGAAAGAAAGAAAAGGTGTACAGAAATAGAGAAAGGTAAAATCCCAGATAATTTAAGAAAGTTGGATAGAAACAAGACAAGGTATGCCCAGACATTTATAAGAATGAGACTCCATGTGTGATTTGGGAGGTGAGTAAGTTCTGAGTTCCCCCAAAGAACAAAGAGCTAAGAGATAAACAAAAACAGGTTCTCTCTAAAATGTCATAAAACTAACAGCTAATAATACTTATTTTGTTAGCAGGCTTGAGAGGAAAATATTGAAATAAAGGCAATCGAGGGTGTGATTAGAGAGAACAGAAATACATCACAGATAATTATAGCAATGTAGGAAGTCCTAACACAGTAGGACGCAAGTCATCTGACTATGAGGCCCACCAGGTGTCAGGCATGGAGAGTCTTGAAGGTCTCTAATAGGCCCTGCTTCAAGCTCTTCGCTGTTCTGGGTGGTCTCCTGTCCTTGGATGGAAACAGGCCTACTTGTCTTCAATAGACAGAACAGGGCAAAGGACCTGGGATCTTAATTCTGGCTTCTGTTTTGAAAGCTTCTCCCCTTCTTCAGGATGGTTCTCAAGATGCTGTGGGGCAACTTTGTGAGTTGACAATGTGAGGAAGGACAACATGGCAGCAGCTAGCCTTGTGGATGATGGAACTGAGCAAGAGGATCTCTTTGCCTTCCTCTCCTTGCAGCTCATCCGAACCTTCAGAGGAAGCCACAGCCTGGTTGAGCCCTGACAGCACTCATGAGAAAACTAGATGCAGAGGCACTACCCTAGGGATGCTATGGAAGGCAAATGCATTTTTGGTTTAAATCTTTCTGTTTTCTCTTTCTGGTAACTGATGTTCACGGGTGGATGTACAGAAGCAAGCCTGTGGAGGGAGCCAGTGTGCAGAGGGTTACCCTTCAGAGTCAAACTCAACCCATCTGCCGACTGACGCTAACCACAGGCAGCTGCCATCTGCAGTTGAAATACTGAAGGGTTCACAGAGTTGTCCCTTCTGGGACAATGGGGCTTTTAGGATCATGACAAATATCCTTCCCTGTCTAAAAGTCTATCCTCCAGCCCAGAAAGGGCTTTTCCTACCTAATTCTATCACAATCCAGATACAGTCATGATTTCCTATCTGTCTGTGCTGTGAGTCTTTGGGGTGTCTCCAAATCTCAAACTGGCACTTTTTAAATGATTCAAATGGAAGTCATATTTCAAATGGTACATACAATATGGGCATCATCTGAGGATAGGTTATGTTAAGTCTGTTGCATAGCACTAAACATATTTCCAGCAGTAATGGATTACAGCAGGTGCTACTGTAACAATTCATGTAAAACAGTCCAGTATTGGTGCAATAACCTGTATTCTCAACCCACACTCAGTAGGATGTCCAACACATCCTACTTTTTTGGCAACAAGGTTAGCATGACATATTTCATATTTAAAGTTAAGCCTTTATTAAGAAAGAACTTTTGTTTCATAAAACAAAGCAATTTTAATCATACAACATCATGGAAAGAGTAAAAACACTTGTCACGGGACAAAAAAAATCCTAAAAAACTAAAACACTTGCAGGTAGTGTGTAGTCAAAAAACATGGTATCAGGTTTGCAAGGTATTTTTAAAGTAGCTAACATAAAAGTGATCATGCCTTTTGAGTCATGGATGGATAAAGATTTGGGCACACGTATGTGATGGAAATATATATATCCTATGACACGTGAAATAGGCCATGATGGGACACAGGAGAAGAGAAATTGAGGGCATTTTGAAGAGTGTGAGGTTGGCAAGAAGTAGTTGTTTGTGAGTGACGATAGTGGTCAGGCAGCAGAGTTAACAAGCCTGATGCGATAGAAAAGTGTACTGGAAGATGACGACATTAACAAATGTCATGCATATACTATGCCACAATAAGAGGCTAGGAGGAGAGCGAGGGTAAGAAATTAATGACAGATTCATACGGGGTCGCTTGGTACCTGGCACAGCTTCCTGTCGATAGGTGGCAGACTTGCTGACTGCGGGAAGGAGCGGGCACTGGTGCAGGCCAGCCAGCTGCTGAGGCTGTGGTGGGACCTGGTCTTCGTTGCAGTGGCTGGTTGGTACATTAACGGCTTTGCCTTCTGTAACCGCAGCTCCCAAGGGTCAGACTCTTTTCGGAAGGGTGAATTGTATATACCTGGAACCTAAAGAAGAACAGCTCTTAATTTTAATATGAAGTTAAAGTGTCGTGCATGTAAGGGAGAAACAGTTGAAACTTCAACTTTGCTGCTTAATCAGGGCTGGGCTTATCAGAGGGGAATTGAGGGAATACTGACCCTTTGGATCCAGTTTAGACCAATAATCTTAGAGACCTTTAGGATTGCAGAGTAAATATGTTTTTAAAACTCAGTCTGAAATTGTATTTGAGGAAAAATAACAGTGGGATCTTAAGTCATCCATTTTGTATTCTTGGCAGATAAGCTTCAACGTCTATCTGTAAGCCGTGCCATCTTTTACGTGAAGGCAAATGTGCAATGTGTGAATGTGTTTGATGGTGTTAACTCTGAGTCCTATATCTGCACTTCACACCCATACGGGACGCTCACTGCACTCAACGGGACATCAGGTGTCCTGCTTCTGCAGTGGCATGTTGGCCTTGCTGCTCTGTGATGGCTCTGTCACACACTGCACAGAAAAGTGGACTGGGCCCAGCATCTGCTGGGTTGTAGAGGCTGCACACATGACACGTGACGAAAGTGATGTTCAAGTGCAGCAGATGTCCGTTTTCTAGAAACCTCTTGTTATTCAAATCACAAACTGTATAGAACCTTACTTGATATAAATATATTTTGGTAGTATTAGATTTCCATAGAAGCATAATAAAAATACGTGTACATATCTATACATGTGCATGTATAAATACCCTTCATGCAAATTCACATATGTAGGGAAAAGTAAAAAGTTTCAAGGATGGCATGATTGGTGGCTCGGTAGACACAAAACTATATAAAGAATTTATTAAATGGTTCTGTTATTGATAAAAATAGACTTTTCTTTTATGCTGTAATTAATACACAAACATCTCTGAATCATATATTACTTTGGCACAGGTGAAGTCCCATGGTAGTACTAGGTAGAATAGCTGTCTTTAGAAAATTGTTCAGGAAAAGTTTGACATTTCTAATGAACACTTAAGCAAGAGTTGGCTTTTATCCTACACCCACCCCAGGCCTGACCCAATTCTTCCTTTCTAACTTGGAGGTACCACTCTGCTCCACCATCATCCATCACATAAGTTGCTATTTCAGAGTTATCTTTGTGTCTCAGTTTTCCTCAGCAAGCAAGTGGAGTGCATGGCAGTTCTTGGGTATTTTGGCAACCTCAAAATCTATCAAGATGCAAGGTACGCAGTAGACACTAAGTGACTCTAAACATTCAACCGTTCAGAAAAGTGCATCAGTCCGGCAATCCCAGCTTTCCAAAGCAGCGGAAGAACATGAGACCAAAGGGAATTCGAGATGCGACCCTTTTCTACCACACATTGTTCATATTTACTCTCAAGGAACCATGATTAGACCTACTTGGGTCACCTCAAATCCAACTTTTCTACTTTTCAATTAAGGACTGAATTTATTGTACATAAAATAAAGCTAACAAAACACATGTCTAAAACTATTTTCAAATTGTTTCTTCTTTGATATTTACTCCTTAATATGAGTGAGACTATATTTTAGAATGAGTTTTTTTTAAGTTACAGAAAGTAATTTAGTGTAAGGGTAACACACTTTTGTTATTATAGAAAACAAAGTGGATGGATACATGAAAGAAACAAATGGCAGTGAAGGAACATATACATATGTGTACATATGTCTATAGAAGCTTCAGTGAAGGAACATATAAACATATGTGTAGGCATGTCTATAGGAGCTTTAGTGGCCACTCAGCTGAGGGCAAGTCTTCAGATGGTTTTTAGAATGCTTTTCTAGATCAAGAATGTACTGAGGATAAGGGAGAAGAACAAATGTTAGATTAAAAAGATGACTTCGACATAAAATAACCATGTCATTTGCTCTCTGAAAAAAGATACAAGATAATAAATACCATTTTGGATGGTGGCAGGCTAATTGGAAATCTGTTAATTTACTTTACTGCCCAAATTTCCACGACCTTATAGATTAAGTTGTGAGATTCATACAACTGAGCAAAGGTTGTAATTTACCATTTAGACTCTCGTTGGCCTGAACAGCTGCTAGCATCTGTATTAACTTTGCTCCGTTAGGAATCTTGATCTCCTCGTGCATCTGCACGCACGTGTATACATAGGCAAAATGGGAAATGCAAATAGCCTGAGAGACATGATAGCTTTCTTAAATTAGACTTTGCAACTATATAGAGACCTTCTCATGTGTATTCTCTTTGCAATTTAAATCAAATATAGATAGAAAATATATTTTAATTGAATTTCAAATGTATCATTTAAAATCTTCAAGGTGTCAGTATTTTAGAAATTACTAACTTACCTCAGGAAAAGCAGTCTGGCCCTCCTGGACCCCCCACAGCAAGCAAATACCTATTTAATGCTATAGTCACCATTTAATTATTATTTCTTTAAGTAAGTAATGCTTAAAAATATATGACTGTCTCAATTGCCACATTCCATATCTGAAAGCTGGTTAAGAAGAATGTTTCCTGCGAGACACAGAAGACTCAGTAACCCCAAAGGGACAAGGACATATTTTCTACTTTTCCCATTTCTCACAGCCTAGAAGGGCCACTGCCATGCTAGCTTTGGGGACTTCATTTTCAGCAATAATTTCCTAGAGTGACCAACACTATGGGGAAATCTGTGCTAACTGTTTGAAAAAAGAGAAAGAGAAAGAAAAAGCCTAACCCTGAGTTATTTGCAGTTCTGTCATGCTAACACTCAACTCAATAAGGCCTAGGAGCTCTCAGGAGGCGACTCTGCTAATAGCTTCCCACTGACCTCTTTGCAACAGGCCCGGCTGCTGACTGGTGGCCCGGTGGTGAAGACAGCAAATGAGGTGTGAAAGCTGATTTTTTTTAAAGGCTATGATTCTGAGTGGTCAAAAAAAAAAAAAAAAGGCAATGAGTTATATAATAGATATATATTTGTCCTGAATTTCCCCCTTCAGACCGTCCATCATGGGAACTTTAGCATGACCTAGAATATTAATTATGTCAGGTTGAGCAATGAGCAAATGTACCATTTGTTAGCCAGTCACCCTTAGCCTTACATTAATATTTTGAACTATTCCATATTTCTAACAATCTATCAGCAGGCTCCTTTCTCCTCAGTCTTTATTCTGAAGCTGGAGTGCTGGATGAGAGAGAGTATTTTTAGGTGTTGCGGATTTGAAAGCAAAGGACAGACGTGCTCACATGGAGCGTTGCAGTCTCAGGATGTTCAGAACGTGTGTGATGCGGCTCCCTCACACAGACCTTTGTGGCCGGGGTGCCTGAGGGATGCTGCAGTCGGCTTCTTCTTCTTTCTTTGTTGCTGGGGGTTCCTCTCAGAACGCATTTGTCGAGTGAAGAGACTATGAAACTGAATGTGGACACCTTGGATTTCCACACCAGTTACTGATGTTTCCTGGTAGGTTTTGCCATCTAACACAGAGTCAGAGCCCAGACTTGGAAGCTGCTTACCCTGGGAGTGAACAGGTTAGTTCAGAGACGTCACCTTTTCCTTTTAGGAAACAGAAATCACTCTAGTCACTCAGCAAACAGAAGCCACAGATTATTACAAAGGGACAAAATCTAAAAGCATTTTCAGGTGTCTTGATTTAAAAATCTGTGAATACGGTGAGAGGTCCCCATTTCTCACAGGTGCCTACCTGAAGTATGCCTGTGCACTAAATTGTAAGCAGATACAGTTAGAAACAGGACATTAAGGAAAGGCAATAGCAAAGGGCTTTGAGGACTGGAAAAGTAAAAGTGGGCCAGAGAACTGAGTGAAATATTTGCCACTGCCATTGAGTTGCCTGCTGAACCGACAACGGCGACACACTCCATCATAGCTATCGATGTCCTTGTGCTGGGGGATTTGCTAAACCCCACTCAGTAAGTAATTGCCCTGCTGTTAGGAGACAGTGTTGCCATGCTGCCGTAGCCCGGCGTTTAGGAGACAGCTGGATGGCTGCTCCTGCTGAGGACTGGGAGGTAGCATGGCCATTTCTCTGCTGTAGCAGCTGCATTCCTCCCGCATCTCAGGCTGCACTCAGCGCTGGGCATTCACTGACGTCTATGTGATATGAACCTACTGATGTAAAGTGAATAAAATCACATAAAAAGCTAACCCCTGCTAACCACACACACTTGCTGTTTTACCTCAGCTAAGAGAGTTTTGGAGCCCGGGTAGTCTCAATCGCTGCGTGAAACAGTAGAAATCTTCACGACTCTTGTCTTATTTTTAAAAGCATTATTTGCTTAAAACTCAGGAGCCCGGCATATTTCACACAGGTTTCCTTTGGTGGCTGCTTGTCACTGTAGCCCTGAGCTGGTCACTGTAGCCCTGAGCTGGAGCACTTGCTTACTGCACACCAGGTACTACCATGTTCTGTCCTCAGCCCTGCTGCCACACAGAGAGAGCAGAACTGAATGGGAAAGAAGAGAAGGGAAGAAAGGGGAAGCCTGGAGAGGAGAGAATAAAAGAGAATTGTAAAAGGTTTCCATCAAGTTACAGTGAAGCCCTGTGAAGCAGTCTGTAGAAGTCACCATTACCTCCTGAAGGGGCTTCTTGCAAGACCTCTAGGATCTTAAACCGGGCAGGGTGGCATACAGGTGCTATTTTCCACTGGCAGGTGACTTGTGTGTTCACTTGGTGGCCATTCTCTGAGAAACTCAGTGCTGCTGCTACTGGGAGCAGTAGACCTGCATTCAGCTGCGCAGGAGAAGACTCCAGTGTCCCTCAGGGCTCAGCAAGCCTGGAGAAGACCCAGCGGCCCTCAGGGCTTGGCATGTATGGAGAAAACTCCAGTGGTCTTGGCATGTATGGAGAAGAGCCTAGCAGCCCTTAGGACTTGGCATGGCTGGAGAAGATCCCAGTGGCCCTTAGGACTCAGCATGCCTGAAGAAGACCCTGGTGGCCTCGTCATCTATGGAGAAGAGCCTAGCGACCCTTAGGACTTGACATGGCTGGAGATCTCTAGGGCCATCAGAGCTTTGGTGCAAGGAGAGGTAGAAA